ATTTATTTTTTAATTATTTATTTACTTATTTATTTATTTATTTTTTTCTATTTTTTTTATTTTTTTATATATTTTTTTTTATTTATTATTTATTAATTTATTATTAATTAACTTATGTTATATTTTTACTTTACAGCCGACTTCTGCCCTGCATTGGCGGATCCTGTTGGAGGATCGCAGGTGTGCAAGGATTGGGGCGCCGGTGGTCAGTTCAAGGTCTGCGAGATTGCCTGTAATGCCGGTCTACGTTTCTCGGAGCAAGTGCCCGAGTTCTACACCTGCGGAGCCGAGGGCTTCTGGCGACCCACTCGCGAACCCTCAATGCCCCTGGTCTACCCATCCTGCTCCCCATCGAAGCCCGCCCAGCGTGTTTTCCGCATCAAGATGCTCTTCCCCTCGGACGTGCTGTGCAACAAGGCTGGTCAGGCGGTGCTCCGTCAGAAGGTTACCAACTCGGTTAATGGTCTGAACAGGGACTGGAACTTCTGCTCTTATGCCATCGAAGGAACTAGGTAGGTCTACCCATGGCTTCTTTTATGTTTCCCCTTCTCATTTAAAGTAATTATTCGCCATACAGGGAATGCAAGGACATCCAGATCGATGTGAAATGCGATCATTACCGAGCTGCCCAGAATAACCGAGTGCGTCGTCAGTCCAAGGACGGTGGTGTCTATGTAATGGAGGCCGAACTTCCAGTGGTCAAGTAAGTAGTTGCATGAGAAACCTAACCCATGAGTCCCACACTAGCATGTCCTGATCTGATGATCCGCCGTTTATCCGTGTACACTGTGTATATGTTATATGTGTTTTGTGTGTTCGTTAACCCAATTTGCAGCGAGGAGGATGACGATCTGACTTTGACGGGTCGCCAGGGACGCCAACAAACTGGCGGCGATACATACACCCTGGAGATAGCCTTCCCGGCTGTAAAGTATGTCTAGCACTCCTTTGTTGGTCCACCCTACGAATAACCAAATCCGACAAATTGCACCCGATCTGCCCAGCATCAAATCTGCACCCAGTACTACTTCCAACCAGTCTCAGTCTCAGTCTAATCCAACATCCATCCAATCAAACCGAAGCACTTAACCAAATGCTTGTCTAACCTCACATTACATGTCAATGCGTGCTAACCCGGTTTTAAAGCTTACTTTTCAATGTCTAGAAAAGTGTTACCTAATATCACAAGATTTAAACCACAGATAAAATTTATATTTCATTTTATTTTCAATGTTATAGATTGGAACGATCTATGAAAACTTGAATGCTCTTCAAGAGATCTTAGATCTTATATGCATTTATCATAGTATATACATTTCATTTAATTTCAAATATTATAACTTGAAATGAGCTATGAAAAAGTTAATGTTCTTTAGGAAATATTAGATTTTGTATGCATTTAATAATTTAATTGAAATATTATAACTTGAAACGATCTACAAAAATTTGAATGCTCTTTAAGAGACCATAGATCTTATATGCATTTTGTATATACCTTTCATTTAATTTCAAATATATTAACTTGATCTTTGACAACTTGAATGCCTTTTAAGAGATTTTAGATCTTATGTGCATTTAATATATACATTTCATTTAATTTCAATATTATAACTTGAAAAGATCTATGAAAACATTAATGTTCTTTAAAAGATCTGAGATCTTATATGCATTTAATATATACATTTCATTTCATTTCCAATATTTTAACTTGATCTATGAAAACATAAATGCTCTTTAAGAGATCTTAAATCTTTTGTGCATTTAATATATACATTTCATTTAATCTCTATTAAAACATGAATGCTTTTTAAGAGATCTGATCTTATATGCATTTAATATATATATTTCATTTATTTTCAAATATTAGAACTTGATCTTTGAAAACATGAATGCTTTTTAAGAGATCTGAGATATTATACGCATTTGATATATTCAGTATTATATGATACTTAAGGATAACACTTTGTCTGAACATTAACAAATGTTTTTGAAATGTTTAAAATATAATAGTTCCCTTTAAACATATCTAATAAACCCTATCTCTGTCCCCCTCCAGTGATCCTGTGGTGCACACATCGACCGGTGAACGATCCAGCGTGAAGCAATTGCTGGAGAAGCTCATCCTCGAGGACGATCAGTTTGCCGTGCAGGAGATTCTGCCCAACACAGTTCCGGATCCGGCATCCTTAGAACTGGGATCGGAGTACGCCTGTCCGGTGGGTCAGGTGGTGATGATTCCCGACTGCGTGCCCTGTGCGATTGGAACCTTCTACGACAGTGCCAATAAGACGTGCCTGGCCTGTTCCCGCGGCACCTACCAATCGGAGGCTGGTCAGCTGCAGTGCAGCAAGTGCCCGGTGATTGCTGGCAGGCCAGGAGTGACCGCAGGACCAGGTGCCCGTTCGGCGGCCGACTGCAAGGAGCGCTGCCCCGCTGGCAAGTACTTCGATGCGGAGACGGGTCTGTGCCGCTCCTGCGGTCATGGTTTCTATCAGCCCAACGAGGGATCCTTCGGCTGCGAACTGTGCGGCCTGGGACAGACGACGCGCTCCACGGAGGCCACGTCGCGCAAGGAGTGTCGCGATGAGTGCAGCTCTGGCCAGCAACTGGGCGCCGACGGACGCTGTGAACCCTGTCCCAGGGGCACCTACCGCCTGCAGGGCGTCCAGCCATCCTGTGCCGCCTGTCCGCTGGGCAGGACAACGCCCAAGGTGGGCGCCAGTTCGGTGGAGGAGTGCACCCTGCCGGTCTGTTCGGCGGGAACGTATCTGAATGCTACGCTCAACATGTGCATCGAGTGCCGCAAGGGCTTCTACCAGTCGGAGTCACAGCAGACGACTTGTTTGCAGTGTCCACCCAATCACAGCACCAAGATCACCGGAGCCACCTCCAAGAGCGAGTGCACCAATCCCTGCGAGCACATTGCCGAGGGCAAACCGCATTGCGATGTGAATGCCTACTGCATCATGGTCCCTGAGACGTCGGACTTTAAGTGCGAGTGCAAGCCAGGATTCAATGGAACTGGAATGGCCTGCACGGATGTTTGCGATGGCTATTGCGAGAATTCGGGTGCCTGTGTGAAGGATCTAAAGGGTACGCCCTCTTGCCGCTGTGTGGGCTCCTTTACGGGACCCCACTGCGCGGAGAGGTCCGAGTTCGCTTACATTGCCGGTGGAATTGCCGGAGCAGTGATCTTTATCATTATCATCGTACTGCTCATCTGGATGATCTGCGTGCGGTCGACGAAGCGCCGGGATCCCAAGAAGATGCTGACGCCGGCGATCGACCAAACCGGATCGCAGGTGAACTTCTACTACGGCGCCCACACGCCCTACGCGGAGTCCATCGCGCCGTCGCATCACAGCACCTATGCGCATTACTACGACGACGAGGAGGACGGCTGGGAGATGCCCAACTTCTACAACGAAACGTACATGAAGGATGGTGAGTAATAATACATTTTAGTAATTTATGAAAATTGTTATGAAATTGTTATAAAAATTGGGATACAAGTAGGAGGAAAGTCGAGAAAAGACATTGTCAATTTAAAAGTCTCAGTTTTTCAACCTAAACCTTTGTATTTCAAATACTTCCCTATTATATTCTTGCTCATCTTTAATAATAATTGCAAATTAGAATCATTTAATTGTTATGAAAATTTGGATACAACTAGTTAGAAAGTAAGGAAGCGATATTGCTAAGTTAAAAATCTCAGTCTATCAACCCAAACCTTTGTATTACAAATACTTCCCTATTATATCCTTTCTTATCTTTAACAATAATTGCAATTTATAATCATTGTATTGCTATGAAAATTGGGATACAAGTAGGTAGAAGGTAAAAAAACATTATTTTCAAACTAAAAGTCTCAGTCTTTCAACCTAAAAAAAATTATAATATTATAATCATTTTATTGTTATGAAAATTGGGATACAAGTACAATTTCTACACTACGTAAAGAAAAGACATTCTCTATATAAAAGTTTCAGTCCTTCAACCTAAACCTTTGTATTTCAAATACTTCTCTATTTAATCCTTGTTCATCTTTAATAATAATTGCAAATTATAATCATTTGATTGTTATGAAAATTGGGATACAAGAAGGTAGAAAGTAAAGAAACGATTTTGTCATATTAAAAGTCTCAATTCTTCAACGTAAACTTTTGTATCTCCAATCGTTCCCTATTAAATCCCTGCTCACCTTTAATCTCTTAACAGGTCTGCATGGCGGCAAGATGAGTACATTGGCTAGGTCCAATGCCTCGCTCTATGGAACTAAAGAAGACTTATACGACCGACTGAAACGTCACGCCTACACGGGCAAGAAGGGTAAGTTAAAAAGATAACTTTATAATAGTAATAATATTAATGTAATATCGTTTTTATTTGCAGAAAAGAGTGATAGTGATAGCGAAGTGCAGTAAAACAACGAGTCGCGATTTAGAAGAGATAAATTACAGATAACAAAGCTGCTTTAATGTAAAATGTGGTCATAAATAGAGAACGGGATGCGGCGACGGAGCTCACTGTCAGAACAGTGATCGAAACACTGCCCCCAGAAATACTCACTGGAGAGCCTTGCATTGAATCAACGTAATAGCTGCGACTTCTTCGCTTTCGATCCATCTTCAGTCCCAATCTCACGTGGATATTACGTGGCTTAATGCAAGGCTTCGAGAGCTGCTTAAAAACGCGAGGCGAGACGATAAATCTTAAATTAGTAATTCCCATATGTGCTCTTTAGGTATGCAAACTACATGAAATTAAGTCGAACTTATGCCTAATATAACGAATGAAATATTGTTTTAATCTTAAGTATTATTTACCTATACAAGACACTCGAAACTACCATGCTTGACGCGGTACCAAATTGCAATACATATATATATATATACTTATATATAAACATAGATTTTTCCAACCATATAGATTGTCCAAGCTTGTTGAACAAATTCGCGAGTGCTGTAAAAAGCAAATCAAATATAGTCGTTATTTTGTAATTTAATAAAAGCAATTTAATTATTATGTATGACAATTAATTTTATAAATTTTCTTGTATAAAATAAAAGAAACGAAACGAATCTAATTGAAGATGTGGCGATACCAAATGTTATTACTTATTGATCAGAGAGTTCGGTTCTTCGTTGGAAGTGACTGATGAAGGTTTTTCCACGACGCTGCTTGCAAGCCATGTCCTTGTGTCTCTGAAGAGTCGGCAGGATGTTGGGTACCTTTTTCTTCGCAACTCTGGGATTTCGTTTAATGTACTTCAGGGACTCGTCCACACGCAAATGTACCTTTGTCTGGACCTCGAAGAGGCAATCGTGCAGCATATGGAAATGGTCGGTGGCCTGACCGGCAAAGGCCAGGATTAAAAAGGACAACGGCACTGTAACGCTGCCCACCCAGTATTTTTCGTACTGCCCATAGTTATATTCCGACACCAGGCCCGTTCCGATCAGTATTATCTTGATCAGCAGAGATAATATATGCTCGAAGGTTTTCCAAACGACCTGAACGGCAATCTCCAGCAGAAGGAATGTCATTGCCAACTCGTATGTACGTTTGAGGAGTGCCGGCATAATATGAAGTCGCCGGGGAATGAAGCAATTGTCCCATATCAGATCCATTGCCGCAAGACCCACAATCAGAGAGGGTAACTGTAGTCCCGGAATATTCGAACTTTTCGAAGACAAAGCCACAAAATGCATCACGTGGAACAGGCCAGCAACGAAAACACAGCCCAAGGAAGTCATTTTTGGAGGTTACGCGCTTATTTTCAACTTAAAATTTGTTAAAATATGGTTACAAAATAAATCGAAATTTGAGTGCATAATTCTACTTGGTTTGAGTAATATCGAAAGTGTATGATAGAATTTCAAATGTTACTGCGATGTATTTTATTTGCTTTCAAATAAAAGTTACGATTTTCGGCTAGAGGATAAATAGTATCGGTTAGAAACTGACAAATATATACTTTCCTCTAAAAAGCCCAAGACGGATTTGTAAAGCCCCTTAAATCCTTTACCAAATTTTTAAAATTTGAATTAACGTTAAAGCCACCCAGTCAGTCGATTACATATCGATAACTAATCTCGTTTCCAACACTGCCCTATCTGCCCACCACGCCACCTAGCGCTCATTTGTAAAAGAAGTTAAAGTAATTGGCGCTTTAATTCAAATACACATATAAAGCTTACAAAATGGAAACGTGTAAACTTGATATTGATGTGCACATTTATTTCAAAAATAGATTAATTTTAGGCAACTCTATGCCAATATTTTGGGCGATTTTGAAGTGCTTTGGTACGCATTGTACAATCAATCGGAGTCAAATCTTTTGTTTCTGCTTTTGTATATATAATCTAATTTTCATTTGCTTAGAACGGTAGCCTACTCCTTGCGCGACAGGTAAATCAGACTGAAAGCCAAGCTGCAGAATAGTATGGGATAGCTGAGCTGCAGAAGTTTGCGACCGATGAGTCTCCGAAAGAAGCTGAACGATTTGCTAGCAGTCTGCTTTTTGCCGGAATCCATTTCCTCCTCGATCTCGGTTTCCGCTTCCGGTTCCGCTTCCATTTCCACCTCCGCTTCTATATCCTCCACCATTTCAGTCTCGTTCACAACTGGCTCTGCCTCTGTGGTGGTGTTTTCTTCGGCTCCCGACTGCAAAAGCTGACGCAGTAGCTCCACATTGTGTTCCGGATCGAACAGTTCTTCCAAGGGAACCATCCGGCGATCGCTCTCCACCGATCCATCCACCGATGGTCGGGCAGTCAGTCCCGAGTCCGAAATGTTGGATTGGTTCTCATCCGTTGGTTGCTGAAATTTTAGGCCCATTGTTTCGGGGCTTCTTTCGAATTGGTTCCTGAGAAATCGATCCTCTGCGGTTTCGCCACCCCCACTTATCGCCATTTCAAGTTCTTCCATTAGCGTTTCGGGTACAGACTTCTGGGGTTCCTCGATGGGTTCTTGGAGAACCATCTGTGTGGATTCTTCAGCTGGCTCTTCAGCCAGTTTCTCAAAGAGTTCCACTTCCTTGTCCATTTGTTCCTCAATATCTGCCACTGGCAATTCTTCATTACTCAGAACTTTTTCAGGATCCTCCATTTGTTCCTCAATATCTGCACATTTTTCTTGCTTTGCCTGTTGATTAACCACTGGCAATTCTTCATTACTCAGAACTTTTTCAGGATCGTCGGGCAGTTTCTGCTGCGTTTTATTTACAGAGAGCTGTCCCACATTTAGTCCAGAGTTCTCAGTCTTATTTTCGATCCCTTGGTCTTCATTTGGCCTTGATTCCTCAGTTTCGAACTGCACATCCTGCATATCCAGGTCATCTAGGGCCACTTCGGCCTCCATTTCGGCGACGACTCGTTGAAGTTCCTTGAGTGTTTGCTCCTCAGCCCGTCGAAGTTCCATTTCGCTGCTGGTTCCCGGAATCCTGTCGAGAATCGTTTGCAGTATGGGACTGGGTCTGACCGTTAGCGTTGTGTCGGCCAGTTCCGTCATCGAAGACTCCAGTTGGATGCCCGAGTCATCTGTCATTTGATGATCATCGACCGAGTTGCGTACCACCGAGCTGTACAGGCGGCGACTGCTAATCTGATGAAGACTGCCACTGGGACCCAGAAAAATGGGAGCCGGAATTTTGGTGGTCATCTTCGTCACCGAACTGCGTGAGGGTCGCAGATCGCTCTCAGAGGAGGCGGTTGGTTCCGCGTCCATTTCGACGCTTGATTTAAAATTTAATGCCCCCAAATCTTCGGAATTTTTCACATTCTTCGTGTTCTCAGTCTTCTTCAACTCGTCCTGGGAGCGAGTTGCTTGCACATCGCAGCTGGCCATCGTTGCTATTAAAATCAAGGATTCAACTCGATTTGGAACCACCTCTGGTCTCTGCTCTTACTTACTTACCCTTAACAAATTTCAAGCAAGACTGACTGAATTTTACCCGGTTAACTAGTCAACTAGTTTCACTGCTCTGTGTGTTTTCAATGATTTCGTTATGTAAGTTTTCCTTATTTCGCCGGTCAAAATGTTCCCTAGCGTAAGTGTGTTCGCCTAACTGAGACAGGTCAACTAACTGAACTTGACAATTGGTTGTCTTTTGGGTGTTTTAAACGCATGGCCCACTTGATTCGAGGCCTTTTTAAATGGCCAACTCGGTTGGCAACTCGTTTTATTAACTAAGTGCTAGAATTAATAATTAATTTGGTTAAAATGGATGGCAAAAAGGGGTAGTGGTTCCTCTGTTCAGTCCTGCAACTCCACCTTCGTCTTGAGATATTCAGACAGATCATTGTAGATCAGGGGCTTCACGCGGTCTGTTTTAAAGGATAGATATAAGAAAGGTACGTTAAGCTGGGAGATTTCACTTACTATTGCACTTGTACTGCAGGTTGGACCATATAATCATCCTCTGGGAGAAGCAGAACACGCCCAGCCGTCCGCCCTTCAGCGTGGAGTCAAAGACATTGCCCGAGTCGAAGATGAGGCGATGACCCTCGTACATTCTGTAAAGGAATAAGAGACTAGAGACATGGGAACTCGGCAATGGAAACCCCATCACTCACTGCAGTCGGATGAGGCCAATGGCCGGTCGATGCACCAGGGACCAGCGGTAGGAGGTTCTCTCCTTCCAGGCAATGTTCTTCGGATCCTTCCACAGCAGCCTGGCCTCGCCATCGGTATTCCCCTCGTGCCACAAACTGTTGCGCATCGTTGGCCCAGGACCCTCGGTGCTGTTGACCAGTTTAATCTGAATTCCCGGCGCTGCGGAGGCAGTAAAGGGTCGTGGCTCCCAGTAGGTTTGCGTTCCCTTCTTCCACTGCACCACATAGTATTTGTAGCTGCTCTGATAGCTAAACACAAAGCCGGCATAATCGTCATCCGTATCATCATTGATATAGAAGGTTCCATCGAAATCGACACCACCGAAGGCATCTCTGCCCACCGCCAATCCGGGATCGGAGTTTAAAGTCTGCACGATCTCAGTGCCATTGGCATGGACCACCCAGTTGGGATCAGCCTGGGATAAACCCTTCGGATCCAGAGGAATAGTTTGCAGTGTACGAAAGTCCGTGTGATGAATCATCGAGTTGTTGGGGCAATTATCAATGGCATTTGGTACCCCATCCACATCCTCGTCCTCTTCGCAACGATCACCCTTGCCATTGCGATTGAAATCCTCCTGCTTGGGATTGCTGGCAAGCGGACAGTTGTCCTTGTAGTTGGGTATCCCGTCGCCATCCATGTCGTCATCGCACTCATCGCCCGTTCCATCGCCATCAGTGTCCAGTTGATCCGAATTGCTGACCATGGGGCAGTTATCCAGCGAATTGGGCACTCCATCGTCATCGCCGTCGATGTCCCGATGACAGGCGTCGCCCACAAAGTCCATGTCGCGATCCTTCTGGTCGGGATTCGGGAGATTCGGGCAGTTATCGCAGCCATTGCCCACACCATCATTGTCTACATCCGATTGACTGGGATTCGGCAGCAGCGGGCAGTTGTCCAGCTCGTTTGGTATGGAATCATTGTCCATATCCCCATCGCACTCATCACCCAGACCATCCTCATCGGTGTCCAGCTGCCTGGGATTGTACTTGAGCACACAGTTGTCGCACACATCGCCCACTCGGTCGCCATCGGAATCCACCTGCTCGGTGTTGTAGGCCAGCGGGCAATTATCCTGGGTGTTCTGGACATTATCGCCATCGGCATCCTCGTCACACCCATCGCCATAGCCATCCAGATCGGCGTCCTCCTGTCCCGAATTCGGCAGCCTGGGGCAGTTGTCCCGCTGACAATGCAGCTCCGGGCAGCCGAGCGTCTTGTCCGGCCAACCATCCATATCGGAGTCCCTGCCGCACATCAATCCATTGCCCGCCCATCCCACATTGCAGTGGCACTTGCTTCGCAGGTTGTCCATCCGCAGGCAAACGGCATTGCGATCGCAAACAGTGCCATCCGGACACACGGACACCGAGGATCTGTCCAGGCAGCTGTAGGTGCCATTGGTCACATGTCCCTCGTGGCACTGGCATCTGTAGGAGCCCTGGGAAATAAAGAAGTTGAGTCAGTTTACTCGGGAGATGCTGATTTTGAAGATATTAAAATTACTCTTAATGGTAGGTTAGTAGGTAATACATCAGAATATCAAAATAAAATATTTCCGAGTCATTATAAATTACAATTTTCATTCGAATATTTATTTAGTTAAAACTAATATTTAGAAAAAAAGGGACTTTAGATTTTTTACAATAACTCTTATAGGAAAATAAAAAATATTTTTGAAAAGAAAAAATAAAGAAAAGGAAAGAAAATGTTAATAAAGAACTATAGACTATTATTGTTAAAGAATTTGTTAAATTTCTCTTGAAGTATGTAATAGTTTTATTACTTTCAAGGGAACAATACCGGGAATTGGTATATTTTATATATCAACATGAGTTTATAACGCACGTTCTTTATATACTATACAGTGACCACTCTATATATTCGACTCACAATCTCATTTATGCAGGTGGAGTGATCCGGGCATCGGAAGAAACCAGTTCGGCACTCATCGACATCCAGGCACGTTTGCTTGCGATAATCCAGGGAGTAGAATTCGGCGTAGTAGCCATTTGCGTGAGTTCCATCAAAACCGACTGGACAAGGACTGCACTGGAAGCCCGGACTGAGATTGGTGCAGATCGTAAGATCGTCGCAGGGATCGTAGATCGCGCACTCATCCAAATCCCGGCAGCCTGTGCCGTTTACCTCGTGACCCACCGGACATGAGATGCAATGGAAGTAGGGCGGGTAACCAACCTGCAGGCATTGGGCACCTTTTGCGTTGAAAAAATAATAGCAAATGCAAAGGAAGGTAAGAGATGAATGATTTAATTGTATGGAAACGATTGATGATCTCAGAGTTACAAAATATTTGATGAGTTTTAATAAAACAAAAAATATTTCCCATTCATATTGTTTTTTTTTACACAGATCAAGTTTTATAATTTCGCTGATTGGATATATTTTTATCGAAATCGGACAATTGAATATTCGGTTTCCAAACTATTTAATTCCTTTGAACCGGAAGATATCTTTTATACATGTTTAAGCTAATTCTTCACGATGATCTCGTTTGATATGTGACTTTAAATTGATACGATAACTCACCATTAGTCTTCAGAAGCATGACCAGAAAATGATAGTGTATAAACATGATGCGGTATAAAGGCATGTGGGTTTGGGGTGATGATTTCGATAGGCAAATAAATAAAATATGTGGCCAATGATGGAGTTTGTTTATTAAATACCAAAAAATTACAGCATACATTTTTTTATTAAGATTATTCATAGTTTATTACAATAATTGGGAGATTTCAGGCGGGGGAAAGCAAATTTTGTTACACGTTTATAGACTCCACTTTCTGGGCATTTAATTGGGACATATTATATTCTATTCTATGCTAGAATAAAGTTTTCAAACATATTATCTCATATTATTTTTCTTCGTTGGAGCTGCTCGTTCTGCTTTTCAAATTCAAATGGATTGCTAATACTATGAATTCCGCTGTGTGCCAAACGTAGAGCTTACAACTTATGACTATTTTATAAAGATAGTAATTCAATATGTGCACTTTCTACGTTCTGTATTTGTAATTTAGGTAATTTAGGTGTGTATATCGTATCATAGCTTAGCCGAGGCGCTGCGATTGTCCCCTCCGCTGCGAATTAGTTCGTTACGACCGAGTATTTGCGGGCCGTGTACTGGCTCTGCCTCTGATAGTGAATGTTGCCTAGTACAAATGAGAATTGTTTATTAGTAAGTTGGTAAGTTATTTGTGATGAGTCTCCCATTTGACATTGGGTCCATCTACTTTGTACTTTCGCCGCAATCCAATTAGACCCCCTGAACATTCCAGGACGCCCCAAAAAAGTCGGTGCTGCTGACTCTGCCCATTGGATCTCTGGATCTCAGTAAAACTGGGCTCTGATTAGCCCTCTTGTTTCACACATTCGCGGGAAGCCCGTAATTACCCCGGGTACTATATAATTTTCGAGGGTTTTTTATTCAATCAAAAGGTTCGGCGAGTCCTCAGAGCCCGAATTAACCCGAAGTGGGCATTAATAAATCAAATAATCGTGTGAATTGAGTACGCTACACTCGAATGGGTCAGGCATATGCATTTCTGTTAGACCGGTTATATCATCCAATGAGAGGTGAAATTTGAAATAAATTTAAAATAAATAAATTGGATTTTCTCAATTGTAAATTGTTCAAAAATTAGTTGCATTCACATTTTATATAAGCCCCATGTACTTAAATTTTATTAAGGTAATTGGTTTTTTAAAAGCCCGTATTAGTGTTTTATATTAATTTATTAAATCCATAAAACTATTACCTCAGAAATTCAGTAAAACTAGATTTTAAAATGATTTTTCAGTAAATTTAAAATAATGTTAAAAAGTGGAATTTTTATGAAGGACAAATTTTAGCTATCCATCAGCAAAGAAAAATTTAATTGAAATTAATGGGTCCCAAAAAGTTGTAATTTGTTATGTTATTGTAAACTAGTCCCGATGAACAATAATAATAAAAACAGTTTAGCCACTCAACCATTTCCTTCTTCCCCTTTCGTTGAGAACTTCTATGATTCTTGTGTGATCCCATGTTTACCAATCAACCCACTCGCAACTGAGCTGATGGCACGACAAACGCAAATTAGCCATAAAATCAACAGAATCCCCAAAAAGACAAAACTCCATTTAGGAGGGGCACACTAAGAACACACAGGGGTAAGCCCATAGGAGACCATTCCATTTGAGTGGTTTTCCCTCCACTTCCACTTACCTGAGGGGCACGGTGTGTCCAGGCAAGGATTACGTAGCGAACATGTGCGTCCATCACCTTCGTAGCCGGCTGGACAGGAGTCACACTGGGCTCCATTCACGGTATCGTGACACTGAACGCCTCTGCAAAAGGGAGACACACAGATTGTTGTTAATGCGATCGGGCAGGGTTTGTATAGGAATGGGGCATATTGTTTATTATTATTAATACCGACAGCCAGGAACAAACAGCAACAAAAGACTGTTAATGTTGGACACAGTCAGAGTCGAGCATACAAAGGCATACATATTTATTAATGATGTTTAGTGGAAACGGCTACACACACAAAAGCCACTGAGACGGGGAAATGGGAGAAAAGAAAAGGTTGCCCCCGCGGAGGGATTTGAGGATCCGAGGGTCACAAAAGCACCGACAAAGCGCAGTTCGACAAGCGACAAGACATGTGCCGTGAGGGAAACCCTCCTCCTCTCCTCAGGTGGATTTTCGGATGGTTTCCCCCATCCGCCGCAGGAAGACAACGGATCCCGAAAACAAATTACAATTACAAGAAAATCTTATTAAAAGCCAGCGAAACACAAATAAATAAAGGAGGGTGAGTGTGTGTAGGCTGCGCGATGCAGATGGCCTCTGGCCACAAAATCACAAGAAACATCCAACTGCATTGCATGCATGTAAATTTCTCCCAACGTTTTCCTTATTTATGCTCCAGAGTGTGGGTTTGCTTATGGCTCTGCAAAATATTTACATATCATGACATGGTCATTAGTTCGCTTCGGTTTTGGGGTTACAGTTACACGGGCCATCGGCCATCGTCCAATGTTCCATCTTCATCTCGGTCTCCATCATCCATACATCCACTTTTTACGTCTGTAGTTGCAATTTAGCAGCCCACTTTGTCGGAACATAACTCATGGCAATCCAATTTCCTAGGAAAATACATCCAAACCATCAGCCAGAACTACCGTGCCCAACTGACCCAGAAGCCATAGTTTCAAATATTTTATGGCTAAGCACACAGTGCGTTTTCGCCTGCCGGAAGTCTTAGTCTCCATCTTCGACTTGGTTATAGACCTAGACTTGGCCCTAGCTTCCCAACTTCCATTTGGCCCGAGGAGCAAATAATAATAATGATGGGGCAAAATAGGTTTGCACTATCGCAAAATACCCTTAAATAAAATAAAAGCTATAAAACGTTTACTATAAACTACTAAACTCTCTAGATTACCTACTCTAAATATTTATGAAATATTATTAAATCAAATCTTACTTATTAATTTTAGATCTATTAAAAAAAGTATGCTCATTGAATAAATAAAAAAAATAACAGCTCTAAAACTAAACAGCTACATTACTAGCTCAAAATATCTATATTACATCCTCTACCTTCTTTAAATATTTACCAAATATTATAAACAAATGTCGATATTACAAACTCAAAAATGTTCCCTAGATTACCTACTCTAAATATTAATGAAATATTATTAAATTGATTCTTTATTCTTAATTTTAAATGTGTTGATTAATGAAAGCCCTTTTAATATTCTCATAACAAATATAGGGCTTTAATAATATTCACCATTCTCGTTTCAAACAGAGTATTATAATAACAACTTTTGGTTTGCTGAAGAACCTGAAGTATTGCGTTTGTTATTTCTTGGCGCTGTCAGTTGATGAGATCCATCAGCTTGGGGGCCCTCGAGTTTGGCATATCCATGGTGGGCAACAACACACTTGTCCCGATCGCGGGAGAGTGCGACAATTTGGTTCCTGGGTTCTTGCTTTCGTGTGGAAGTGGCAGCTTTTCGGGGCTTGCCCCTAACTGGCTAGGCGCAATTAGCAAAAAGTGTTAAGTACTTAAGTGGCAAGCGGTCCAAGTCAAGTGAGTAAAGTTGGATGCTGCGTGGGGGTTTTCGCTTTCCGCCAGCGTTCCCAGATGCCTCCGCCCCTGATCGGCCTCTCCTGACCAACACTTTGAGCTTTTCTGCTTTGTTTCAGTTCATTCGACCATATTGTCTGGGTTCTGCGGCTCTGCGGCATCGTTTGAGTGCTGGGAAAATATCCAGTCAAGCGCAACGAGGAACGCATTAGCATTTCAGCCGCCTCCGTCCTCCAAGTCCACCGATTGGCTTGGCATGGCGGACCAAGACCCAAACCCAAACGCGGACTACCTTTCTTTCTGAACGTTCTTTTTATTAACCACGCATTCATAATTCATAATTCCAATTTGCTGGCTTGGGCCCAAGTTCGAGTCCAGTTCAAACACCGGCCAAGGAGCCATAGAAGGAATAGAGGGCAGGTCCCTGAGCAGAGTGAAGGAGCAGGGCCTGAGTAATGTGTGAACATGGCTCTGAAGCATGCAAAGGCTTTTAGCCAAGTGGAAAGGGGAATGGGAATGAGGTGCACAAAACTTTGGATCAACACGGATTACTGTGGTCCAAGGTTTAGGTATTCAATATTATTATACTTAGGGTTTGTCAGATCACATATTTTAGATATCCCCTTGATCAACGTTTAATGGTCTATTAGCTCGAACGTAAGCCCTATTCTTGGGGTTTACTCTACCGCTCAGCCATTAACCTCACCCAAATGGCTTCTAATGGTAGCGCATGCCATGCAAATGCTCTAACAACAAAAGAGCCAGCAAACACACTTGGCTGCCACTCGAAGGAGAGCTCCCTATTCTCAGTGGAGAATCCAAGCATCCAATCCCCTCGAATCCTCGAATGTGGCGCACGCTTTGGACAAACTGCAGCTAACTGCCATAAAGCGGCGTTTATTTTGCCACAGGCCACTTATCTGCGAGGTTGACTGGGGCTCCAACTCCATCTCCATCTGCGACTCCAGCTTTTCAGCCTCTCAGCTCTTTGGCTCGGGCCTGATCTCAACTTGGCCCGGGCTTGTTTTTGTTTTCATTGCTGCGCCTGCGCATTGCCAAGACGACCGGCATCGTAAATTGTTTATGCGGCGATACGAGATTGCAAACTCCTTGTACATAAAAACCCTATTAGGGTATTAAGTTAATAGAAGACTCGAAATTAAATTTATTTAATGTTTATAGTGAAGCTAAAGACTTGTTAGAGCCAATAAAAAATATTTCAGGTATCTTAATAGTCTAGTTTATGAAGTAAAAAAGTGTTTTAGATATTTATTTAGATATCTACTATACTATAGTAACCGATAATCTTTTTTTTTAAATCACAACTCTACATAAAATAGGATCAAACTTCGCTCTAAACTGAGTGGACTTTCTCAAATCAAAATAATGATCTATGGTGGGTTTAAAGGACATATCATGAAATTTCGATACTATAATATCCGAAAATCTAGTTTTTATACCCTTGCAGAGGGTATTATAATTTTGGTCAGAAGTTTGTAACGCAGTGAAGGAGACGTTTCCGACCCCATAAAGTATATATATTCTTGATCAGGATCAATAGGGGAGTCGATTTAGCCATGTCCGTCTGTCCGTCTGTCCGTCTGTCCGTCTGTCCGTCTGTCCGTCTGTCCGTCTGTCCGTCTGTCCGTCTGTATGTCTGTTTCAATACCGTTTGCGAGCTCAGTTTAAAAGCTAGCGCCTTGAAACTTTCACAGTCGTCCTAAAACATGTGTACGCAGATCAAGTTTGAAAGCCGACCCGATCGGACGTCTATATCCTATAGCTCCCATAGGAACAATCGGATATAGCTTTCACAAAAATGAAGATATTTCGCTCAGTGTAAGAGCTATTGGCATGAATCTTTCCAAATCGTATTTTTTTGTGCGTACCTTGATCAGGGTAAAAGCGCGTGCCGATCGGACGTCTATATCTTATAGCTCCCATAGGAACAATCGGATATAGCTTTCACAAAAATGAAGATATTTCGCTCAGTGTAAGAGCTATTGGCATGAATCTTTCCAAATCGTATTTTTTTGTGCGTACCTTGATCAGGGTAAAAGCGCGTGCCGATCGGACGTCTATATCTTATAGCTCCCATAGGAACAATCGGATATCGATTTCACAAAATGAAGATATTTCGCTCAGTGTAAAAGCTATTGACAAGAATCTTTCCAAATCGTATTTTTTTGTGCGTACCTTGATCAGGGTAAAAGCGCGTGCCGATCGAACGTCTATATCTCATACTTTTCATATTAACAATAGTTAAATGCTGTGAAAATATCCCTTTTTTTCTATTTTTACATGACATTTTTGCAGTACTAAAGCTGCTGACATGAAAATATGCAAATCTTATTTATTTATGTATACGTTGCTCAGGGTAATAGTTCTTGCTAATCAGACAACTGTATACTAAAGCTGCCGTTTAATAATTAAATTGGTTACATGTAGGAAATATTTTTATACCCTTGCAGAGGGTATTATAATTTTGGTCAGAAGTTTGTAACGCAGTGAAGGAGACGTTTCCGACCCCATAAAGTATATATATTCTTGATCAGGATCAATAGGGGAGTCGATTTAGCCATGTCCGTCTGTCCGTCTGTCCGTCTGTCCGTCTGTCCGTCTGTCCGTCTGTCCGTCTGTCCGTCTGTCCGTCTGTATGTCTGTTTCAATACCGTTTGCGAGCTCAGTTTAAAAGCTAGCGCCTTGAAACTTTCACAGTCGTCCTAAAACATGTGTACGCAGATCAAGTTTGAAAGCCGACCCGATCGGACGTCTATATCCTATAGCTCCCATAGGAACAATCGGATATAGCTTTCACAAAAATTAAGATATTTCGCTCAGTGTAAGAGCTATTGGCATGAATCTTTCCAAATCGTATTTTTTTGTGCGTACCTTGATCAGGGTAAAAGCGCGTGCCGATCGGACGTCTATATCTTATAGCTCCCATAGGAACAATCGGATATAGCTTTCACAAAAATTAAGATATTTCGCTCAGTGTAAGAGCTATTGGCATGAATCTTTCCAAATCGTATTTTTTTGTGCGTACCTTGATCAGGGTAAAAGCGCGTGCCGATCGGACGTCTATATCTTATAGCTCCCATAGGAACAATCGGATATCGATTTCACAAAATGAAGATATTTCGCTCAGTGTAAAAGCTATTGACAAGAATCTTTCCAAATCGTATTTTTTTGTGCGTACCTTGATCAGGGTAAAAGCGCGTGCCGATCGAACGTCTATATCTCATA